CTACTACTACTAGTACTGCTGTTGCTGCATATCGCTATAGGAGCATTCGTCCTCGTTTCAGGGATGTAAGTTTCGAGTAATTGGAGTACTTCCGCGGCAGGGCGTGTCGCCCCTATGATGAAGAAAGCGGGAGTAGCTGTAACTCTTGACACTACCCACCCTTCACAACCGTGAAAGAGTGAAAAATAACATAAACCTCGGACAGGATTCGCGCCTCAGGCTGTGCGTCCTAACCCCAGTTCTGAAGACGGGCAGGTGGATCACGCGCGTGTCGTGCAGCAGGCCCTGCTTCTCACGAGTATATTCCCAGGGCTTAGGTTGTTGACGCGGCTGCCTTACAGAAATGTAGCCTTCGCTTTGCTGATTGTGGCTTCGTGAGGGCTTTGCCTGAACTCGCGTATCAACCTGCAGTCTTCGGGGATCACCTCGTCGCCGACAATCATCACAAACCTTTGGGAGAGGAATGCTCGAATCTCTCGTGCCCCTCTGATGTTATGCTAGTGTTGCTAGCAGAGATTCTGGAGCGGTGAACCTCTCCGGGTGAAGCAGACGCCTGGCAAAGTGCTTTGCATGGCGTGATAGCATAGCCCAGAAGAACGTGCAGAACACCTCAATGCAGACTGCTCGAAGTCGTCGATTTTCTAGCTTGCTACAGTGATTTCTTGGAGCACTTCTGGATCCCCGCGGCCACCATCTTCCGGCACTTGAGTCTGCTGCAGTACCGGCCCGGGATAGGTTCGAAAGCTCGGACAGCTGCCGCTCATCATGCCCTACATGAAGCAGGCGAGAGCGCAGAGGGTCGTGTGATCGCGACGAAAGGCCGAATGAGCTATTTCGGGTAAAGATCCAAGGCCTGCATCAAAGCTTCCTCAACACGTAATGGAGTTCTCGAATTCTCGAATACTCAGAACCCTGCCAGATCAAGGTCTGTGGTTGAGGAATGCACCTCAACGTGCTTCAGCAGGGACACTTTCAAGCCCGAATTCTCAAAACATGACTCCAAAAAGCTACAGCACACTCTAAACCCAAGCCCAAGACATGCAGAGCCGATGCTGTGACCAGGTGCAGCAGCACAACATTGCGCCTGTCAACGAGGCAGGATTCCATAAAGCAGGAGCTCCTCACGGCCAAGGTTTCGGGCAAAGTTGAGAATGTAGCGGGCTTCTTACGAGTTTTGCTTTGGAATCTCTTGGGGAAACCACGTGGGCAGTCCAGCCGAGCTACCTCCTAAACCTGCAATCGAAACCCCATGGCCCCAAGTGACAAGTACCTGGGAGATTTTCTGCATTACCGTTTCGCGCGAGGCACATGAGCATTCGTGAGCATCCCCGAAACAAGGAGACTCTTGCTCAGAAGCTACATTGCCACCTGAGGTAAAGTCTTTGCACCAGCTCTAGAAAGTCTAAGAGATTGCATAAAAGCAGGCGATCAATGAGCTCTACGTGGATGGGGAGCAGTATGAGGAGCTGAGGCAGAGCATCGAGGAGACGGCAGGGTTCCGACGGTTTCGTAGAGTTCAGTGCAGGTTCGACGGTGAGTTACAGCATGCGAAGGCACGAATCATCTGATGTATAGAGACGCGCCATGCAAGTAGTTCCACGGCGAAGAGCAGATGATTTAAGAGCCATGCGGTGTCTTTTCCGGATCGGATGAAGGGCTTGGGGCAAGGACGGTTCGAAGCTTCACGGAGGAATCGGGCTCGTTTGCTCTTGATTTGCTTTGTGATGGAAATGCGGCTCAACTGTTTTAGAGCTGGATTGAGGACTCGGGGGCTGGGCATCGCAGGGACGAAGGGTTCCGTTTGAGGGGCATTTCTCGACGTCTCGATTAGCAAGTTGGTTTTGCTAACATTTCCAGCGATCTCCATGATTTTCCAAACTGCTGCTCTGGCTCACGAGGTTTCCCGCAATTCATGGACATTGCTGGAATTGCTGGTTTTACCAACATTTTCCGTGAGCCAATCATGCAACGAGTTGGTTTTACCAACAATTCCCATGATTTTCCAAACTATGGCTCTGGCTGACGAGGTTTCCCGAATTTCGTGGAAATTGTTGGAGCTGTTGGTTTTACCAACATTGTCCGTGAGCCAATCATGGAAAGAGTCGGTTTTACCAACAATTTCCATGGTTTTCCAAACTATGGCTCTGGCTGACGATTTTTCCAGAAATTCGTGGAAATGGTTGGAACTGTTGGTTTTAGCAACATTTGCCGTGGGCCATTCATGGAAAGTGTTGGTTTTACCAACAACTTCATGATACCGAGTGTTTTTTGCTTTTGAGGGGAGCCCACAGAAACTGCTAATGCTCATAATTTTCGTAATGCTTACCCGCGCCGCTTCCAACGACCCCACTGGTGCTCATGAGGCTCGTCCGAAATTTGCGATGAGCACATCTTGGGTACTCATGCGATGTGTGTTTGCAAAACGGGCCGGTAAGGTATTCGCATCCTTGACTAAACTCAGGCCTTTGTCCAACACGAAGCTACGAAATTATCTCTGCTTGAAGACGTTGCTGTGCGAACACCAGTTTAGTGGTTTGTCTGCTTATCACGGACAGAGCTATACTTCATGTCGACGATTCGAGACTTTATTATAGGAAGACTATTGCGGAACGAACCTGCCTATGTTGGTTTATTCACACACTTCCCAACATACATGTAGAAGGTATTTACTTATGTCATATCTTTCTTGGTGTTTGCATCGGGGGCTTTAGTCGTTGTGATTCTGCATCTTTGGTGTGGCTTTATTTGCTTCAAGATGCCTTTTCTCAAAAGAGTAGCATTTGCACCAGAATTCTGTCATACATCATTGTCCAATGATCATCATCTGGTAGGTGCAAAATCGCGAAACATATGTTGAAAAGTCCATGAATCCTAGCCAGACCATTAAATGCACAGGACTTGCATTATGCACACGATGAACTAAACCCAGACTAAACATGTCGAGATGAACTGGACCTTTAAAACAGGGAAAGCAAGCAACATCGACTAATAAACAACGGAACATAAAGCCTACACCGCAATGGGTAGCCACGGTACGTTGTATTATGTTTGACTTGGAGCACTACTGTACCTGTAACAGTCCGTTCTCAACAGTTTAGAAACA